TTTGGCGGATTGAACAGATCCTGAGCAACTGGACAAAAGTCATTGATTGTCAATCCAGCACTTAAGAAACACTGTGTTGCACGGGTACAACTTACTACCATGAAATAGGTCTGTTACCCATTCCTGCTAAATGATCAGGCGTACTATGGTGAACAGGATTAGATAAACAACATCTTAACAAGATCTTGGTTAAACGGCTGTTAGGATTTAGCACCGTCAGAGGTTGCTTGGACCATGTATTCACAATGAGATGATAAAAAATACAAAAGAGAATGGGCATCGAAACTTTCTGCAATCTTTGTTGAATTCACCACAGCTTTTGACTCATTCTCGGGAGATGACTTGTGAAAACTTGGTGGGTAATGTGTAATACTGCAAAGATTATTCTTATGATTTGAAAGATGCACGATCTCTCGTCAAGTACAGTGCGAATGGATGGCAAGTTTGGCAAATCCCTTGGTACAAAGTTCAGAGTAATGCAAAGAGGATTAGAATCTCCTTTAATGTTTGCGATGCTTCTTGCCTCCAGGTGCTCCAGGCAACGCAAATGAGCTGATTTGCGAATACAAAAAGAGTGGACAACATCTGCGCTGGTTGTCCTGCATTTGCGGATAGTATCGTGTTACTGTCGAAGAACCTCAGAGCTACGGTATTTCTGTTGCAAAGTCCGAAACACTGATGTTCTGATCCGGATCTACCGATTAAGTTGAAGCAGGCAAAGTTGAAGAATGACCGGTGGAATCCAGAACAAAGACTGTCTGACCATTGACTCCGAAGTTGTGCAAAAGTTGTCAGATCATCTGCGCCTTGAAATTACGTTGCTTGCGACGAACGGAGTTTAGAAGCGCTGTGCGTGGACGTTAGCAAAGAGGAAACGTCAATAAAGCGCTGACATCTTCGTTCGTAACGGCACAAAGCTGCACTCTTACAGTGATATCTACTGACTATCCCGCTCTATGGCCCAGACATCACGGAGGCTGAAAGCAGAAAACTGAAAGCGATAGAAATGAAGATTTTACGATCGATATTAGAAATGAAGCAGCACGATCTGGAGTCAAAATCTGTTGTATAAGTCGGATTAGAATATTCGACTAAATTGGTCAACAGGCTGCAAAAGAATCGTTCAATATGGAGGGGTTATTGCCAACCAATGGAGGATAGTCGCCTTGCGAAGTGAATAGCGAACGCAAAGCCTCGTCGTAGGGGAGGGGGGAAGTATTCAGTAATATGGCAAAATCTGGTCGGAATTGAAATGACACTTAAAGGGCTGAAGAATGAGCTGAAGAATTCTTTTACGGCATCCGGCATCGCCTTCGCTGCAATGGTATTAGAGGAAATAAACACTTAAGCAGTCGAAACCTCAAATGTTAAAAATATATTCTCATTATTATTAGATAGTTTACAATTCATCATTAAATGCTAAACATATAGCTAACGTAAGAAGAAAAGTATCATGGTAGTTGTATTGCTTTTTATGCAACCGTTCAGCTCTCGGCCGCTTGACATAAGCATCAAACAGGATCGTATTTTTACGTGCTGATCACAGCAGCTGCTGTTTGTATGGTCGCTCTAATGTCATTATTTATTTGTT